TTTTTTTTTTTTTTTTTTTTTTTTTTTTTTTTTTTTTTTTTTTTTTTATATGAATTTTAGCTGTGCACATTAATCACCATTATGTAAGTGTAATTTACTAAATTTTGTCAATAAGTATATAGTTTTATTATTAATATTATATCTATAGTATAATATTTATTCGAATTTGAAGAAGAATCTTGTAAATAGATTTATACTTTTTATTTACAGGAAAATATCCTAAAAATATACAGAAAACTACAACTAGTTAATAAATATACGACATAATTATTTTAATTTTAAATATGAGAAAAAATATTTGTTGGATATTTTTTGTGATTTTTCCATTTATTCTTTTCGGTAATATATTTTTATGTTTTATATATATTTATATACTTAACCTATTAAATGTGTATATATATATAAATTTTTAAGAATTAACACAAATTTATTATTAATAATTAATTTTTCTTATATTTAAAGGGACAGTATTAAGTAATCAAGAAGATGTACCAACATTACCTAAAGAACCTATCAACGGAAATGGAGAATTGACAGAGGCATCTGAAGGTAGATTTCATTTAAGAAGTACTCCAGATAATGAAGTTCTAGTTGCTCGTGTAAAAGGTTATAAATCTGCATTAATTGTACAAGGAAGAAAATTAAATAATATTAAAAAATCTTTAGATGAAATTCAAACTTACGTTACTAACAAACTAGCTAGCATATATTGGGAGAGAACCTCACCAACACAGTTAACTAGAGAGGAATATATGAAGGAATTTGAGAAATTCAATGAATTTTACAATGAAAAAATGCACACTTTTGATAATTTACGAAATAATAATGTTGTTGAACATTCTAAATTCATAAAATATCATAAAGATCTATCAAGAAGAATAAATAATTTAAAAGTTTTGTCTACAGAAGTACTAACAGAGTATAATGAAGTTATGAAGATTTCAAAACAAAATATAGAATTAATTTACCTTAATCAAAGCTTATGTAATATTATTCAAGATTATTTAAATTACTTAGGTAAAAAAAGAGTTGATACATTAAATGCTACCGTAGAACCCTTACAACCATTAAGCACAGATTCTTCATATGAAACAAATTCCACAGAAAATCCTCCTGAAGTTGTTGAAGAAGTTAATATTAGTAATGGTTCTAATGGATTAACTAAGGTTATGGTGATAATAGGTGTTTTGGGTGGTTTGTGTGTTTGTATTGGTGCGGGTTATTTCATTTATACTAAAAAGTTAATGAACACTTCATAATTTTGTTTTAAATAAGAAACTCACGGAATATTAAAAATATAATGATTTAACTTACATAAAAAAGAATGTATTAGCATGCCCGTTTAATAATATGAATAACATTAAAAAAAAAAAAAAAAATTTACTTTTAAATGAACATTTATATGATATTTATACATTTATCTTATTCAAACATTAATTTTTTATGTAAATTTTTTTGTCATTTTCTCACTGTTTTTTATATGAATTAGTATATTATTAAAAAAAAAAAAAAAAAAAATTTAATTTACATATTGTTTATACTATAATGTGAGAATAAAAATATTTTTTTTGTAAAATAAATAAATTTATATTAAAAATATATATTTTTTTTTTTTTTTTTTAGTATACAATACACTCTGAAAATGCAAAACATTCAAAAAACAGAAAATTAAAACCTTTAATTTTTTAAAATATTTATATTTTTATAATATAAGAAGAAAAAGATTAAAAAATATATTTTTTAATTTAATTTTTAAGGATAAAATTATCACTCAATTTAATTTATGAATATTTAATAAATTATAATTTTAGTAATTAATTATCATTTCAACTTTTGTAGAGTGATAAAAGGACAAATTAATGAGTATATATATTAGCATCTATTAATTTTGTTTATTATAAAAATATTTTTTACGGAAATATGTAATTTTTACATGATTATACTACATAACACGAAATAAGTGATTTATTTTATATACTTATATGACCCTTTAAAAAAAAATTTGTTAAATATTTTTATTATTTTTAACTATTTTTTGAATATATTTTTAATATAAATAATGTTACAGACCTATTTTACATAATTTTTGGATGAAAGAATAGGATAAAAATATTTTATTTTATGCGTGATAAATTATAAGAAAAATAGGCAATCATAAATGTGTGCACTAAAATAGTTACTAAAAAAATATATGAGAAAAAAAAAAAAGTAATTTTGAAAAAAAAAAAAAATTTTTTTTCTTTTTTGATATGATAATTACTGTGGAGTGCATATATATTTTTTTTAAACTAAAATGTAGTGTTAAATTACATTTATGGAATGTTGCTTAAATTAACCTAAAAAAAAAAAAAAAATTAATAGATAGTATATAATGTTGATTAATAAAAGTATGGATTTTAAATTAAAATTTTAGTTAATTTAAAATTAAATAGAGTTTATTCTACATTCTCTCTATTAATTCGTTTGCTTGATACTAGGAGAGTCTTTAAACAGGCAATTAATAAATCGTTTGGGGATGACAGAAATATCGAAACTGACGCAATCAAAACATATTGAAAAGCAATCCAAATAATGGAAGAATCTATTGGTAACCTTGGATTAAAGATATTTGAAGACATAGTTTCCTTTCATATATCTTATGTATTTAATGTGAAAATCATAATGAAACATCTAAAATTAAAATACACAATGGAACTCCAAAGTTAGAAGAAAAATTATTAAGAGATTATTTTGAATGTTTTTTATATTTTGAAAATAAAATAAAAATGCAAAAATTATCTAGAAAAGTAATATAAATGATACTTGAGCTTATGTTATCTTCAATTTTCAAGAGATAGTAGGAATGGCTGTTAATGAAGACATAACTAATATATTACAGATTCAAATTACATTAGCAAGATTTTTGTTTATTAAAAAAGAAGATAAATAGAAATTAATGGTAGAGATAACGAATGTAGGGGATAAATTTACAGTATTTGAGACTACTGATTATTTTACTGCCGTTTGTAAGATATATACTAAAAGTATTTTATGTATAAAGGAATCTAATGACTTAACAACCGTAGATCTTTGAAAGAAGATGACGTATTATAGCCACTGTTAGAAAAAAAAATTCCAGAAAACATACCATAATGAAATATTTAGAGAATATATAAAGAATTTAAGAGAGTTGGAATATATTATGAAGAATAAAAAAAGATCAAAAGAAATAGATAATGGTAATAATAAAGAGGTGGATATTAGTAAGAATAAAGTATTGAATAAATGTTATTGCTCTAAAGAAAAAGGTCATCTTAAAAAGGATTGTTTACATTGTAAGAAAAGATTTAATAATTGTAATATGATAGGTCATTTGGCATAAGTATGTAAAAATAAAGTAATTAGGGATAATGAAGATGAAATTAAAGGCGTGATAACGCATAAAAGGTATGATATTAGTTTAAGTTAATTAGAAGTGAAAATTATTTGAAAAAGTTATATTAATGAGAAAATATTTGAATAAAAAACAAATACGCTGTGAAAAACAGAAAAAAAGGTGAAAAGGGAAATGTCGCAATAATAAAACAAAAGAGAAAAATGAAGAAACAGTAAGAAAAAGAAACAAAATTAACAATGTATGTGAAGATGAATAATTACATAAATCTATAGAACATGAATGAAACATTGAAGAAGTGAGAAAAAATAAATTATCTATTAAAAATTTACAAAGTAATGAAAATAGTATATAATTTTGTGTAAAAAACAAATAAACTGTTGAAATAAATGAAAAAAAAAGTATATTTTTTGTTAGACATAGAAGTTGATATGTTTAATATATCTGATTTATCATCTGAAAAAATTAAAATATAATTAGATTTAGGATTTTTACCAATTAAAATTTATAAAGTATCCAATGGAAGAAAAGTACAGATGTCCGAAGAAGTTGTAATTAGTATGAAACCTACAAATAAACCGACTAAAACAAAATTTGTTATAGTAAATTTAGAAAAACTACTTATTCTAATCAATCGTATAGTAATGAATCAGTTAAGGTATTCCAACAAAAAAATTAATGTAAATTATATATATATATAATGTAAGTTGAGAAAAATGAAGAAAAGGATCCAGATGATACTAATCAAGTAATAATTCAAAATTTTATTGACGAAATATATTTCAAGTCTCAAAAGGATAAGGATAAATTGAGAAACTATTTGAATATAATTCATCACTTTGAGAAAATAAAATGGAAGGAATATTAAGTAAGATTTATACTTCTGTTCAAGTAAAGCTTTAGAGACATAATCCTAGATCTTTGAGTAAAGAGATGTTAATTGAGTTTCATAAGTTGATAAAATGATAGAGATGAATGTTATTGGTAGAGTTGATAATGAAAATTGAACTTCATCTATGGTATTAGTTTGTAAAAAAAAAAAATAGTGAATGGAAAACTAATAATTATTACGTGTATTTAAATAAATATATATTAGATGATTTGTATGTTTTACCTCATATGAAACATATATTCCAGATATTTTATGTGTACTAAATATTTTTCTAAAATAGATCTTAAAAATGGATTATGGAAAAAAAAACTAGATGAAAATAGTAAACAATACATTGGATTTATAGTACCCAAACGTCGAATATTTTCATTTAGTGTATTATCATTTAACTTGAAAACTAGTTCTACACAGCTTCAAAGAGTAATGAAAAATATCTTTAAGTATTTAATAATAGAAAACTATATAATTGTGTACATTGATGACATCATCATTGTAACAAAATCTATAGATGAACATTTTAAAATATTAGGAAAAGTATATAGGTTAATTATTAATATAGTTTAGGAATATATGTGAACGAATTTGAATTCTTTAAGACATCATAACATATTTAGGATGGATCATTGATCATATAGGAATTAGACTTTCATTGGATAAAATCAGAATGATAATTGAAACGGAATGATCTAGATCCAAAAAACAGTTGAGGTTGCTTTTAGGATTTTTTAATATTTATAGAAATTATATTAGAAATTCGCCAAGATGAACATCTAAATTGGTTTCATCATTAAGAGGAATTTTATTTTGAACAGAGAATATTTTCAGTTTTTTAACTCACATAAATGACATTGGTTAAACTTAATATATTCGTCATACATCAATAAATTGGAATTATATCCAAAAGAAATGGAACAAAAAAGAAAACGAACTATTACCAATAGTTATAGCCTGTGAATCTTTCAATTATTATATTAAAGGATCGGAGGCACTGATTAAGACTAACAATAAGGATCAAGTAAAAGTGAATTTTCTTAATAATGGAAAATTATATATATGAGAATTAAGGCTATCAGAATTTAAATTAAAATTTTAACACATTAAAGGAATTCAAAATAGTCTGTCTGATTGAGTAACTAGATCAAAATATGATGATACAAATCTCCCTAGTTATATAATTATATTTTGTAATAAACTACCAGAGAATTATGAAAACTCTTATCATAATCCATCCTTTAATAAATATATGATGAGGTTTGAGAAAAAAAGAATAATATTCCTAGAGATGAAATATGGAGAAATGATTTTCCTATTCATTATAAAAGTGTCAAGTTATATATATAAGAAAAGTATAGGATTCAAATGATTCACTTGTTTTATAGTAATAAGTTTTCCAGACATTGAAAAATCATTCAAATTTTAGAGAAAATATTAAAGCATTTTTGATGGACTAATATTAGTCGAGATATTGAGGAGTATGTTACAAATTGTATAGTTTGTCCGTTAATGCGCAATAGAAAATTTAAGCCTAATAAGAATCAGGTATTATCAAAACTCAATCAGTTGGACATGGCTTCATTGGATATTATTGAACCAAAAAAATGGAAAAGATAAGAATACTGTGTTCAGGCATCTATAGATCATTATTCACGATTTACATTTATTGGAATTAATAGAAAGATATCTACTGTTGGTAATTCGATTTCCATAATGAGAAACACTTGGATTTCTGTATTCCGATGTCCTAGAAATGTTATTATTCATAATGATTCTATTTATGTAAATCAAGAATTTCAGAAATACGTTACAGAAGAATTACAAATAAAATTATACTATACAAGTGCTTATTGTTCTTAAGAAAATGGTATTAATGAAATCTCTGATAAAAGTCTTGATTACATACTTAAGACTATCTATGTAGAAAAATATATGTCAACTGAAAAAATAGTGAAATATGTAGCATATATATATAACAATTCACCTCACGGAGCTAGAAT